CAGTGTCGGGGATGTGAAGACCAGGACCACCCATGTTTTTAATTTATATAATCGACATGGGATTTGGATCTAGCGTTTGGTCCCTTCCCGAGTTCAAACGAGGTTAAGTGAGGCCGTGCAGCGAACGTTATATCCGGCGCTGTCTTGGCTCAGGACTGCGCAGTCCCATCTGCCTGTTGCGCGATTGCGTGCGACTCTATCTGGATCATTGTACCAGATAATGGCCACGTCTACCGATGATCCGCCTCTCCATCTCACGGTTCATCTCTTATCCCTCGCCTTGCTTGCCATCGAGGGATGAGTTGTGGGGTGCCTCGATGCGTCTCCGACGTTATCCTAAAGTAGGGTTTTCAGCGTATCACCTCGTGGTCAAGCCCTCAACCCTTGCTCTTCGCTGCTAACGCGCCCCCGCAATAATGCCATCCGCAGTTCGCCGTCGTCGTCCGTCGTCGCTCCACTGCGCGACGCCTGCGCAGCGCCCCCCCTCCCCGCGTGCCATCCGCAGTTCGTCGTCGTCGTCGCCGTCGTCCGTGGTCGTTGCGCCTCGACAGCGAGACGCCCGCGCAGCGCCCTCCTATATGCCATCTCATTTCGCCGTCGTCGTCGTCGTCGTCGCTGTCATCGTCCGTCGTCGCCCCCCGGAACTGCAAGACGCCTGCGCAGCGCGCCCCGTGGGGCATCGGCATTTCGCCGCCGCCGCCGTCGTTGTCATCGTCCGTCGTCGTCCGCCAGGACTGCAAGACGCCTGCGCTGGTCGTCGTCGTCGTCGTCGTCTGCCTCCTCGCCTCGTCGCATGCTGAAGCCGCTATCCCCGCCGCCCCACATCATTAGCCCTCGGGCGCTCAAGGGCGCTCGGTTCGCATTGTAGACAGGGCGAAAGCACGCGCCGCATGGATATGTCACCATGTCTCCAGAGCACGGCCCGCTACCGCAAAATATACAATATTTCGCTTGCGATCAGGCGAAGTCAGCATGCCCGAGAAAGTCGTTGGGCTGTCTGCTTTCTTCCATTGCAATGTATAGAGGCTTCCTCCCAACGGCGCTCATGACGCGGCTCCTGACATTGTTCAGTCGTTACTATGGACGGAATGCGGACGCTTGATCCCGAAGCAAGGGAGGAAAGCAAACATAGCCCTCGCAGACTTCCGTCTGACTATGAGGCCCCCTGGCCACTGGCCAGCACGGAAGACAGTGGTTCAATAATGACAAGAGGATTGCGATGTCGAAGGCAGGCAGGACTTGCCTCTCCAAGACAACGTGTTCCCTTCCTTCTTGGGCGGCCGAGCAGACGGATGCCGCGCCTCCTCTCCGATGCGAGCCATTTTTCCGATTCCTTGAGCAACTCGAGAAGAGGTTCATGTCATGCAACGCTTGGCGGATGGACAGTTCCAGGCTGGCCGAATGGTGGCCCGTTGTGCGGAAGCACGTCGACCATGCCGAAATTCCGACGAAACGACCTCCACTTCGTGCGTTCGATTGGCCGGACGTAGAATATGATCTTATATGACCAACGAGCGGATGGTGAGCCCGGGCAAAGAATTTTGCCGCGGATGGAATTCATCTTCCCGCGGCCACATCTCCCCGCGATAACAGTCGATACTTCCGCAGCGAGCTTCCCTTCGCAAATGTCAAGGCACATAAGGACCTCTCACGCATGACTTCCGAGGACGCAAGAAGAGGCGCGAGGAAATAATGAGCCTCGGTCCCAGTTGTCCCACTTATTAATGGCAGATCGCCAATCTGCGGGCAAACCTGAGATCAATCGCAAAGATGGCCCAGGAGCTTTTCGCGCGAGGAATCCGCCCAGCGGCGGTGGATAATCCGAAGAGACACTGCAATTCATCGTTGCAAAACTAATGGCTGATTCAACCAGAATATTATCTGCGGTCGTGAGGACCACCGATGCAGTCTTACGTCATTTTTTGCACAAGCGCACGCCAAGTCAGGGATTGTCTTGTCGAAGGACCAACAGGCGGATACTGCTGTTCAAACCTCCGGGCGTGATGTGGTAATGAGAGCGTGCATATTTGCACAGCAAGTCGTCACTATTGACGCGATGTTCGGCGACTCTGGGGTTGCATGCTCCTTGCTGATTTCTAGGGGGCAGGATTTTTCTCCTGCCCTATCTGAGCACAGGCCCCTTCGTGTCATGAACATAGTCAGGGAAACCATGACGAACCTTATCGCGCAAGAGCGAAACATCGTGTTCCTTTCAGAAATGCAGGATGTTCTCGATGCCCAGGATGGGAACGGATACTTAGGTGATAGGGTGAAACGCCGCCCGCAGCAGATGCGAAGATAACCGTGCGAACTCGACGAGGAAGTAGGGGGGCAGCCGGGAGTTCAGACTTATCTGAGACATTCATCACGGTCGTGGGGCTCAGCCGCAAGTGCAAGATATGCGTGGATCCCTGGCCAATGCGCACCGCGATGGCTGATCTCACTGGCACAAGTTAATGGATGGAGTCATCGCAGGATGAATGCGCTGAGATGCGGGGCGCTCGATCGCCGAGCATTGCCGGAACAGTGCCGCAGTTGGCATCCGAATTCTGCGCGCTTTTGCAGGGGGTGGTCTCCCTGATATCGGCTCAGCCGATGTTGGGACATCTGTTGATGGCTCGCGACGCGCGGCTTCGCGACCGCTGGGGAAACGCAGCAATTGTTTGCGCCTCCTGCCGTGCATTCACTTGCATCGGACAAGACAGTTATCTCGGAGGGGACTGCTGCCGGCTTAGCCAGTAGTGCTCTTGCGCCGAATCTGTTGAAATCTGTGGAGGTTGAAGGAAGAGGGTGTTCGAGGTGCGAATTCAGTCGGCGTTTCTGCTGCTCCTAAGTCCCCCCCTAGCGCCGGCGGGCAACGTGGCAGCTGCGGTCTCTGATGGCCGCCCCCTCGTCGATGGCGCGCGCGGGCAGCCTTCGCGGCGCGAAGCATTGCCGGCGCCGCCGCCGAAGCCCGAGCGGGGCAGGGGCCGCGGTGCTGGGTCGAGGCCAGCTTCAGCATCGCACGATGAACCAAGGCAGCTGACGCCCTGGGCGCGTCATGGACAAGAAGGACAACGGGCGGAGCGTCGGGCATCGAGCGGGAGCGCGAACCAGGGCAACTGTCACAGGGGCCAATATCGGGGCCAGTGAAACATCGACCACCACTACGATGACCGCGAGAATGGTGGGACATGGGCGCATGATGATGCCGGGAAAAGGTGGCAGCGCTGGACTGCGAATGATCACGGCGACTACGATGGTCGCCGTCGCACGAGGTGAAGGGAACAGTTGCTGGTGGCGACTCAGTCAGGGGTGCGCTACATGCTCTACCAGAACGGGACTAAATGCCTCTGCATGAACTTCAACGTTCGCTTCTGATGCCGGGGTGTTTATTTGTGGGATGCGTCGGTCCGTCTCGGCCCCCCCAAAGGAGATCCCGCGGGTTGATCGGCGCCCAGGGGGTGCCTGGAAATCGCGGCGCCCCGTGGGGTGGGTTTGAGGCTTGGTGCCTACGCGCCCCGCCGCGGGGCAGTTCATTGCTCTCCGCTCCCCGCTCGCTCCCTGCCGCCGCCCGCCGCAGATGTTTAGTCTGCGTAGGCGCCAGCGCGGAGAGGCGTCGCTTGCGGGCGCCGCGGGCCCGTCGGCGCGAGCGTTGAAAGGTTGTGGATTGTCGTCGGTGTCGTCGTCGCCCCTCCTCTTATCTCCTTTTTTTCCTGCGCGCAATTACTCGTGACTGAACGGTTCACAGGGCGCATGTCTCATATGCTCACTATGGGCGATGAGACCGATATCTTAACATCACCACCATATTTTTTTACCAAAAGGGGTATTCTCCTAGCGAATGGCTTAAGTTGCATCTGTTCAGATTGCTTCTGCTGTGGCACATTTAGGTGCTGAGCTTTCCCATGCCACGGATCCACGACCGGTGCTCCACGATTTTGTTTTTCCTGGCCTTCGACTCGCTGCCACCGTGGCAGCCGTGTAAGGCGGCTGCTTGTTCTTTTGCGGCAGCCCTTGGCCGACGAAGACATCGGCGGGCAAGCTTCGCCCCCCCTTCTACTTTGAGGGTGTGTCCCAGGCTGGGGGCGCATATTTGCTTATTCCCGCTGCTGTTTCGATCCCAGGCGGCGCCGCCCAATCTGCCTGTGCTGGGGGTATTGCCAGCGCGCAATCTTTGGTGGTGTAGGAGAAAAATGCGCCTTTTCCCCCTCTATCACCATCCTGTTCCACCCATCATTTAGATCTAAAACCTTAGCTTGGCACGCCTCGTCAAAACCGCCGGGCCCTGAGATCTTTCGGAAGGCGCTTCAGACGAACGCCCGATGCAATGGACCCAGACTTCCGACGATGGCGGCCCCCGAACCCTGAGATCCGGGTTTGCCCCGCTTCGGGCGCGTTGTGGACCAGAGGGTGGGACAACATTCTTTTGGGGGGCCGAGGAGGGCAGCCGAGGTCACTGCTCGCGCTCCGTCGTGGCTGAGACGTCCGAAGCGGCGGGCATGGCGGGCGGCTCCGCGCCGCAATCGGTGAAGCACGCGCTGCGGTTGTGGTCCAGAGGCGCCGCCTGGGCCGGCGGGGGAGCTGCCGCCCCCGCCCCGGGCCCGACGAAGAGCTGGACCGCCCCTCTTCGGGCCCCCGGATCAGCACACATCGACCCGGCTCGAAGAGTGCCGCAGCACGATGGGGTCCAGGGCACAGCGCCAGATCCCAGGGGAGGTCCCGAGCCTTTCTCGGGGACAGTCTTGGATGGCCCAGGGACTGATGATGACGGGCCCCAGAAGCCGGGACATAAAAAACTATGCCGTCAAGACGTCTAGAGAAGGAACAGTTTGGGTTCGGAAAAGGCTCGCTGTCTCGAAGGATTGCAAAAAAACCCTTCGGAGGCTCGCTGTTTCGAAGGCTCGCTGTTTCGAAGGATTGCAATCCTTCGTTTTTTTGCAATCCTTCGGTTTGTGCCCCCTCCCGTTCCCACGGACTTGCCGCCGGCGCGGGCGCGCGGGGCCCACGCCCGGCGCGAGGCAGATGTGGGGCGGCGGCCCGGAGGAGGGCGCGCGGCTGGGCCAGGAGGCGCCGTGGTGCGGGCGGGGCCGCCTCGGCGCGGCGGCTGGGCGTCGGTTGCGCGCGGGAGTGGCCCTTCGCCAGAGTCAGTTTTGGTGCGGTCCCAGAGGTCGCAGGAGGAATCGACACCGACACCGCTGCTCGCCCTGGAGAACCCTCGTCACCACTGGTGGGTTCTCTTCGAAGTTCTGATCAGAACACGCCCCTGGAGGGATGCAGACAATTGCGGTAATTTTTCGGTACTGTCTTGTCCACCTAGGAGGGCTTTTGGAGGCTCCGGGCCTGGGAGCGGTGTCCATCAGCGCCGCCTCGCCGATAGCTTTCCGGGAAGCACAGTACTGTCACAGACGTCCGCTGGGGGCCCGAGCTGTGTCCCGAGAGCCATCGCAGGAATATCAGCTACAGTCGGGGCCCTGAAGAAGGAACCCTTTTTGTTGGGGAGGGACTCCGTGTTCCTCAGTTGCTTTACAGTGCTCCTTGGGTTTTCCCGAGGTTTTCCATGGAACATCGGAGTTTAACTAATGGAAAAAAAGGGGCCTCGTTCCTTATGTATCGTTCCTTAGGTCAGCCCCCCGACTGTGCGCGCAGTAGCGACCGTTCGTTGGAGTGGGTTTCGGTGCGGGTCCGCAGATGTTCCCGCAGCATTGGCCTGCGCGCTTGGATTCTGGCGTCCCCACCTTCTCTGCGGGCACCCGAAACCGCGCACCAACGGTCGCCCTTGGCTGGAGTCGATCTTGCGTGTAGCCGATGGAGGACGATCCTTTTCCTCCTCCTCCTCCTCGTCCTCCTCCGCTTCCTCCTCGTCCTCCTCGCTTGATGCTTTTGGACGTGTCTGGTCCTGTTCCCTACCTAGGCTCTGCCTAGAGGGTTCTTACTTAGTTTGCTTACAGGGGCCGGGCAGTGTAGGCCGCCCCGGGCGGTTCCCCCAGTCCCCGCCCCGCGGTTCCCCCAGTTGCGCCCCCGGGGTTCACCCAGCTTAGCTAAGCTAAGCTAAGCTTAGCTTAGCCGAGCTTTGCCTAGCCTAGCTTAGCTTAGCTTAGCTTAGCTTTGCATAGCCTCGCTTAGCTTAGCTTAGTTTAGCTTAGCTTAACTGCTATCATCTTAGCTTAGCTTAGCTTAGCTTGGCTTAGCTTAGCTTAGCTTAGCTTAGCCTAACCTAGCCTAGCCTAGCTTAACTTAGCTTAGCTTAGCTTATCATAGCTTAGCTTACCTTAGTTTAGCTTAGCGCAGCAAAGCGCAGCGCAGCATTAGCACAGCATAGCATAGCATAGCATAGCATAGCCAAGCATAGCATAGCATAGCTGAGCATAGCATTTTGTTGCTTTCCTAGAGGCTCCAACTTCTAGGTAGGGTCGCACTGGGATTTTTTTTTTAGGGACTTCTGGAGACTTCCTCCGCTCCTCCTCTGGCCTGCTCCTGTCCATGGGCAGCGGCTCGCGCGCTCGTGGAGGGTGTGGGGCTGGGTCGCTGTATGGCGCGGGCCAGCGTGGTCGGCTGTTGGCGCAAGGACTCCCTTGCTCGTATTATGTCGGGCGTGTCCCCCTACAGGGGGATTTTCGACGAAAAATAGAAAATACCCCAAACATGCCCCAAGAAGGTAAACAAATACTCAACAAATAGTCCCCGGACTATGTTTAGACTATTTTTTGATTATTTTGGGGGTATTTTTTATTTTTCGCCGAAAATCCCCCTGTAGGGGGACAGGCCCGACTTAATGCTCGTACCAGATCTCCAGCGACAGGATTGTTTCAACTGGCGGGTTTCTCAAGATTTTGGCCCTCTGGGGCCGTTTTCGGGCCCTGGGGTTACTGAACATGCCTCCGCAATGAAAACTACCTCTGGGGATGGTGTTGGGACCTCTGGGGCCGCGGATTAAAAAGATATATCGTCGGATGTCAGGAGTTGTTGTTGCTTGGCCTCCTGTGACCTTCTCCTCTGTCTCCAAGGGTGTATGCTGCTTGGGTTTGGCATGGCTCCGCTCATCTGCAACTGCCTCTGAGAGGGGTTAGAGAGGTAGAGAGAGAGAGAGAGAGTGAGAGAGAGAGATAGACCGAGTATGACAACGTGCCTCTGCTTCTTCGTGCCGTTTCTACCATGAGGCGTATAGTCCATCGCTCATGTCGTAGTGCCACATGAGTTGCGAACGATGTAAAACACACATTCTGGAGGCAACGCGCTGTATGTACAAACTACTTGAATGTATACCTCTATGCGCATATGGTGGGGACATCCACATTTTGCTGTCCTATGACACGACGGCCCCGATATGGGATTGCTGTCCTCCACATTCTGTCCTTCTCTCCTCCTTCAAGGAAATCATGATGCGGACCATGGGGCCGAGCATAGGCTTCAGCTGCACCCGTCGGCCCCAGATGACATGGAAGATGTTTCGAACTTTGTAGATGCGGCGAGATCATCTGGTATTTTCACTGCGGATGTGCTCCGGCTCTGGCCTAAGCTGTCCTTGGATGTGGCGTACACCCCACCTGCGGTCTCCTCTCCCCCTTGGAGCTCTGCCCACCGTCTCCCACAGGCTAAAGGTGGTCTGGCATGTGGCCTTGCGTGGCCTGCCTGGAAGGCAGGACATCAGGAGAGGGCCCCTTCCAGGCTCGTGTGTGGACGACTCAAAGCTGCATGCGGCCAAGCAGCAAGCCTTAGTTCACAGAACTGTTCCATTCGATATTTCGGACGGTTCTATATTTTTTTTGAGGTGCAATTGTCACTCCTCGGGGGCTTCGATCAGGGGCCTCGGCGCTATGTGCGTAGTGCCGCCGTCTCGTGCTGCCTGGCATGGCTGGATAGCGCTGCGCAAAGGCAGGCATCCCTATTATTTCAAGCAGATATTCCATGTGAAGGTTGATCTCGACAATTGCAAGGCTTGTTTTGGCAATGGTTTTCGCGGACACGTTGCCGCCGACATATTCTGACCATGAGGTGAGCCTTTGCAGCAGACGGAATATGCTGAGGTGCATCGATTCGCGGCACAGCTCCGGTCGGAGGCGGGGCGGGGGTCGGGATCTTGTCGGTCGGGGGGATGGAAGTCAATGTTGTAGCGCTGCTGCTTCTTTTTCTGGTTCCACTGCAGGCTCTCCGCCGAGTGGCGCAAGACCTCCGAGAGGAGGAGGACAGACGCCCTCTAATTTACGCAGCCCAGTGGGCCCAGCGTTGTGTGTCCTCCATCTCCCCTCTTTGGATCTCTGCCCGTTTCGATGGTGCAGCCATTGTGGCTTAGGCGCGCGCGATGTACTGACTTTCTTTGTACATGCGGGAACACATCTTCGCCCGCCTTCACGCTTGGCCTCCTCGATCTTACCGTGTGTTTCCATCAGAAACAGTGGTAAGCAGAGCGCGATGTCCGAGGCGGCGGCGGCGGCGGTGGGCATTCCTGAGGGCGGCAAGACGAGTCGGGCAGGGGATTGCGGCCGAACAACAACCGCCGCTTCCGCCTCCGAGATCGCCGAGGTTCACAGGGCGGAAGCGACCGACGCCGTCCAGAGCCACTTTTAGCGCCCAGACAGAGAACGCCGAGCGCAAATCGATGTTCTGCCAGACTACGTGATCCGCAGATCAGAGACGCCGACGGAGTTCGCAGGGGGCTGGGCGACATTCTCGTGCTATTACATGGACGGAAGACCCGACACTTGGAGGAAGGCGCGATTTTGTCGGCCCAGAACCGGATCAACTTGAAGACGTTGACTGGCGGAAAGGAAGACAGCGTGTCGATTTGGGCGGCATTGCTTAACATTGGCGTGAAAGAGAAGCCTATTTTTCCGACGTGCCACGCGCAGACGAAGAGTTTCCTCGCCGAGGTTGAGGAGCCGGCGCCACCGCCTCCACTGCGCTCGTCGGCTGAGGGCGAGAACTTCATTTTGAGACGCGGACGATTCTTCCCTCAGGTGTTCGCGGCAATGGTCGAGGACCGCCCGGGGAAGGACGAAGGGCGGACGCGGCAGAGGTTCGGCGCATGATGGCGGCCGAGAAGATGCATCTGGATTTCTTGGACCGCTGGCGCGCGGCCAAGCCAGGTTGCGAGAGGTTGTCGATGGGCGACGCCAAGAGGCAACATAATTGCGCCAGCTGCGGAGAGCGACGCCAGTGGGCGGAGACGCGCAAGGACCCGTGCCGCCCGAAGGCTGACAGGCTGGCTAAGGAGAAGGATGGCGACAAGGGCGGCAATACTAACGCCTCCAGGACCTTTTTCCTCGGCGTGACGGGGAGCGGCGACGACTTCTCAGGCGTCGCAGTGCAGAGGTGGAACGCCGTGCTGAAGACATTCTCTGTGAACGCAGGCAAGTGCGAGCTGCCCCATCGGAACATGGGAGACCGCGGCCTGTCCGACACTGCCGCGGCCCAGGCGCTGGTGGGAGATGAGGGCCTGAACGCGATGATCGAAGCATTTCAGCGTCGACTTCGCCGCGTCTTGTTAAACGAGGCCTGGTCGAAGGAATCGCAGACCGCAGCGCCGGCGCGGGTGCCGGTGAGCATCTGGAACGGGGCATCTGGAAGTGCAAAGTGGTCGAGTTTATTGTATTTCTCGGGCGGTGCCCCCACTTCTTCCTGCTCGACTCCTCGACGCGCTCCGCGTGGGAGTAGACCTCCCAGACGACGGGATCGCGCTCGGGGGCGAGGGCCGGGCGGGGAAGTCTTCATTCCGGCGCCTTGGTGGACGTCGGTCGATCAGCTCGATTGATTGCGAGCCGGGCGAGTTCCGGGTCGGCGCCGAGGTGGCGGGGCGCATCTTCGAGGAGGTGCGGCAGGAATGTCAGGGGGGCCTGGTAGTGGGCTGGCGCATTGATCAGTCAGGCCCCCCCTCATGCGCGAGTTGGCGCCCGGGGCTTCTGGGGGGCGCCTTGGGGCAGCCGGCGAATTCAAGGGGCCCACTTCCGAGGCCGTTTTGGCTCGGCGTCGGGCCGCCCGGGGTGCTGGGCGCCTGGGCCGGTCGATCAGAGATGGTCAAGGGCGCCGGGCAGAGGGCGATGGTGCTGATCCGTTGCCGCAGGCTGGCGCCC